ACACGCGCAAACAATGGACACCAAAGGGAAAGCAAAAGGTTATAAGTCATAACACATCAATGTCCTCACACATAGTGGAGATACTCCCAAGCGTTATCTCAGTTACTAGGACCTGGTGTATTGATCTGCTCTGCTCTTGCAGTGGACAAGGGTTACTGAAGTGTGCAGAAAGTCAATGATGTGCGTGTCTGTCTGCATATGGGGTCACCATTAAAGATGAATAAGGGTTGGATTGAAATGGACAACAGGGATAGCTGACCTTTTCATTATATCTACTCAGGTAAATTTGTGGGCTCCGTTTATGTAACACAGGTTGACAGATGATGCCGTGCTCTGGTACAACATTGATTAGAATCTCTCAAGCTTCAGACATTTTTCATCATTATTACAAAGGATGTTGGACATACTCTGAACCACAGGGGCAGCATTTTCACATGTGGTGATTCTGTCCTTCATGCATATCAGTCAATTTCTGCTTATGGCACATTCACTCAGGATCAGTCTTGCTGTCATGAATTTATTGGAGAGGACTGCTATTACCAGGAATTAAAAGCAAAATATTTGACTGGTTATGAATTCTACCAGTCCCTACAACACTATCTGATACCCCCTACTCTCAGTCCACATCCATCTGCACTTCTTGGCACGACATCAGCTTTAATATGTCAACATGCCATGAGCCCCCCATGAAATGCATCATTTTCTGTTATTTGCATATTGCACCACTGATTAAGGAAAATGGAGCCGTGTGTCTGTCATTGTCTCACATATAAATACTTAACTGAATCAGGTGCTTTTCAGCTTGCTGACAGCAAACTTCTAAGGGAAAGAAAATTATGCAAATTATTGGACTGGATAAATAATAATATTAGGGATGCACCAATTTATCGTCTGAACATCGGTGTCAGCCGTTATTTGCCTTTTCACTATATCGGCTAATAAGATGACATTCACCGATGGCAGTGACTGATTTTTTTCTGTTGTGTCACATCAATTTTTTGCTGGCTAAAAGGCTGGGCTTGAGACTTACAGCCACAAACTTAATCTAATGAACAGGTACAAGAAGAATACGGTAACTGTTTGGTAGATGGGCTCTGTGATTTCCCTGTTGGGTCGCTTGGTAAGGCCATCCTCATTACATGAGCTCAACATTCTGTTTCACTCTCTGTATCAGTCTGGACTCACTGCTGCCCCAAACACTTCCAGTGGGTGGGAGTACTCGCCTTGACACACAAACTCTTTCAGCCAATCAGGGTAACAAAAAAATAGGGAAAAACTTCATCACCAATGGAGCCAGTTGATAAATTAATCTTTTGCCAGTCAGAAGAATGGCGACAAGCGTCTTTTCAACCTAGAAACTCCGCAAGTGCATAATCTCCTTCTTCTAAGTGCTTTATCATGAGCAGCTGGACTTGCTTGAGTTCTCTTAAGATGTTTCACCTCTCATCCAAGAGGTACCTCTTGGCCCCTGATGGCCCCTGACAAAAAATATCAAATAAAATTTGTAGGAGTCCACTGAATGTTTTGCATCCTTTTATTTCCCTTAGAAGTTTGCTGTCCTCAAGCAGAGAAGCACCTGATTTGGTAAAGCATTTGTCTAAAAAATAAAATTCTATTTATTCAGTTTATTGCTCAAATACCTAACAGATATACTTCGATTTTGCTGAACCATACCAGTAGTTTAAAAACAGCTTTATTATAGAGAAACAAACAGTTGGAAAGGCGCAGGTGTTGGTGTCTGCTGTATTTAAATCAGTGGGCTCACCATTGTTTGTTATTTTTAAGTGACTTTCTAGTGTACTTCTTACCCTGTAGGTTATTCCACTTACATTTATGTCTTAATCGCTGCAATTAAACCAATGATCCAAATATCCAAAACTCTGACTTACCTGGTCTATTGTGTCATAATTCCTCTGGATGGCACAGACGAGGACTGTGTGTCTCTAACTCAGGTGTGCAAGATAATGGAGGTTGGTTTAATAGAAAGTTGCTGTAGCAACAAGAGCGCAACTATAAAAACCTTTTGACAGTAATGAGATGTGGATGAGCTTGCTGCCAAGCATAAACTGACTTCCTCAAAATTTTCTCAAATTAATTCAGAAATTTCAAGTATGATTGAAAACATCCACTCATTCCTGCCAAAAATAGACTACTTGGAAGGTTAATCCTGACGGATGGAAACGTGCGCTTTGTGTCGTGTAATTTTTTACTCTACTATAACTGACTTTTGATTGTTAATACCCATGGGAAAACTTTGCTTCTCACAATAGTCTTTTTTGTCTTGTCAGAAGTAAATCAGCCTCTTTTTGGATCTGTTTCTCTCTCAGGCTCATTTATAAGCCAATCAAGTTTTCTGTTGGATATTACTGTTATCTCAAGAGCTGTTTATTTCAGCCAACTAAAGATTAGTGAGTGAGTGAGGCTGCATGGCGTTGCAGTGGTTAGCATTATTGCTTCACAGCAAGAGGGTTTCTGGTTTGAACCAGGGGTGGGGGAGCCCTTCTGTGCAGAGCTATGTTCTCTCTGTGTCAGCGTGGGTTTTCTGCAGGTACTCCAGTTTCCTCCCACAATCCAAAGACATGCAAGGTCTAAATCTACTCTAAATGATTTTTTTACTCTAAAATACTCTATTCTAAAGTGAATGTGAGCGTGAGTGGTTGTCTGTCCTTATGTGTCAGCCCTGTGATAGTCTGGTGACCTGTACAGGATGTGCCCTGCCTCTTGCCCAGTGTCAAGTGGGATAGGCTCCAGTCCCCCCCACCAACTCCTAATAGGATAATGAATGAATGCATTGAGAGAGAAAAAGGAGCATTTTAAGATCTTAAATTAGGATCAGTCTTTGACAAGAGAAAGACTATTACTCAGGAGCTGAATTGTATGGACTAGAAAATGGTAAGTCTCATATTGATGTTAAATTGAGCTCAGTTATGTCTAGGTGAAATTGGCTGGACAAAGACGAGATCTGATTTTGAATTTTCCTTCCCTCTGGGCACATCCAATACTAGATGTAGGAAATGTCTTGAGATTTGCATAGTGTCCAATGCAAAGTCTTATTGTTGAAAAAAAAAAAAGAGTAAAGGCTCACTGTCTGTCTCTCTGTCTGTCCTCTGTTTTTTTCAATTTGTTTGAGATGTCCTTCACTATAAATTTAGTTATACAATTATGGAGACAGATTTATTTTCTAGATGTCCTTTCCAACTGACTTTGACAGACCTTATTTTATTGCTGCCTTTTACAAGAGAGAGCAAAAAGTATTCCCAAAATAACATCCTTTTACATCTGATATTTAGCAAGACTGAAGAAGACTGTTTCTAAATACCACAGGAGAGTTGACTCATGCCATTTTTTTATGACTAATAACAGAATAATAACAGTGGTTGCCTTTCAGTTATACCTCCACTGTAGGGATGATGCAGAAAACACACACCAATTAAATAATTGCATAATCTACTTATTTTAAAAGCAAAGGGCTGCTCATATTTCTACAAACAGTGTTGGAGGGCAACTAGTTGCTCAGTGACATGATACAATAACATACCTTTTTTCTTATGTACAAGTAATTTAAGTCATTGCAACTAATTCTGTTGCCTCCCGGGTAAATCAGATATTTTATTTTATTTTAAATTGTCTCACGGAGTAATTAGAAAAACAAAACAAAACAGAGTGCTTACTTCTTCCTTGCAAAAGTAGAAGATTTAGATGAAAAGATATGTACAAAAACACAGCAAAGAACTGAAGAAAAGCCATTAGAGAAACTTTAAAGCTAGGCTAGGCAAAAATCTGGAAAGGCAAAAAAAGAAATGGCAAAAATCTGAAAATACATGCTCCTCCTGCAGCTCTCTCCTCTTTGTTCTAAGCCCCTCCCACCACTCGGATACAGGCATATGTGAGCACTTCATACAGTCACCCAGTGTTTCCCATACACTGATTTTTTAAATCTAATCTCAATGTAGAGTTCCCTACAGCTCATTCGCTCAGCCCCTCCTTGCCCAGGTTTCTTTCTCTGTTCATTAGACCACAAACGAGACAAGAATAAGATAGCTAGCCACCCCATGCTTGCTCAGCCTCACACCTTGCCACTGTGGACTGCTTCCCCGGTAGAGTGGGTGCTAGCTTGGGAGATGGAGCTTAAGTCAGTTGAAAAAGCTCAAAATCATCAAGTGCCAATCTGGTCTGCAGTGGTGGGCAGTGAGGCGGAGGACACACTGTGATTACAGGCTTTGCTAACATTAGCTAGGCCTACATATATGTGAACCCTTTAGCTCCAGTTAGCAGAGGGCTTAACTGTTTTCTCTCCATCTCTTAAATGCTTAAATGTTTTATTTAATTTATTGTCACACTTTCTCCTAGACTCTGAATTTGATAAGTCTGTCTTTTTGCCCAAAATGCCAAAATTAACCTGCCTATGCCCGCTTTAATCTACAGTAGCAGGCAGATAAGTAATATGTTTTACACTCAGTGTCTCTTCTAAGTCAGTGATGAAGATGAAGTAAGGAAACCTTAGAAACAAGAAACATGCTGTTTGTCCATCCTCCATATAGAGTAGAAGTATGATGCGTTCCAAGCACTAACATTACGTACTGAAATGCTGTCTGTTTGATTTAATTAAGGAAACAATATATAGTTTGGAGGGACTAATCGTTAAAGGAGAGAGAGGAAAAAAAGATGGAGACATCAAGTGAGGAGAGAGCGAGAGGATGAGAATGTTAAATGAAGGCAATCTAATCAGGAAGATGTATCTGTCCTTCTCCTCTTTGACAGACGCTCTTAACTGATGACCCTCTAAATGATGGCCCTAGCCAATTTATGTGTGTGTGTGTGTGTGTGTGTGTGTGTGTACTGGGGTTTTTTGCACATGTGAAAGTGCTCATGCATGTGATGGCCTCTGTTCAGGTGTGTGCACTGTGTATGCAGCACTGGTGTGTTTCAGCAGATATCAAGTGAGAAAACAAAGTACAGGTGGTTCCTTGCATGAGAGGCTGAGAGGAATCGTTACTCACTCGGACCACTCAGAGATGTAGCAAAACATGAGGCGGCGAGCGTGATAGGGCAGCCAGCACACCACGAAGGCTATGACCACCGCTCCTGAACACAAGGGAGAGAGATAACGTCAGAGGCCAAAAAAGGAATAAGTAAACATTCACATGACAATACTGTGAACAGTTTGCACACTTTGCAAATAAGGTGTGCAAACTGTTCACAGTATTGTCATGTGAATGTTTAAGAATCAGGCTTCACCAAATACCATACATAATAGTATTGAGGACACAACAACAGAGAGGATAATGACATCTTCAAGTGCTGGATTGAGTGATTGAAAATACAGAAGTCATGCATCACCATTGTGAACCATAATGTTCAATGTGCCAAGCAACAATGTGTATAAAGTGCATCAGTGTGTCAACAGAATGATGTTTTTGAATTGGATTTGATGTATTTAAAATTAAAGGCCCAAAGCCAAATTAGTGGAGTGAAATTGTGGATGTGTCTCTACAGTGAGTTTCTAGAAATAGTCTAGACTGCTTCATTTTTGTGTTTGTTGTAAACAGCCATTTATACTTGTATGTATAGGTACAGCCACAAATATAACATTAAATCTTAACCTTATAACTGAATCAAACAATCACACAAAACTGAGACTAAACTTGGTGTAACAGGTGAGTGCTGGACCCAAACGCAGCACTGAAGACAAGTGGAACAGTTTATTATGAGCTTTCGTAAGTACAGAGAGAGCAAACTGATGAAATAACTGGGAGAGTCAATGTCCAGGTTCAGAGCTTCCTGAGAAGCTTATTCAGTCCAAGGCTCTTGGCGCTGAACGCCAAAGCTGAAAATAGGTGTAGCCAGCATCAGCCAGATGCACCCACGCAGGAAACAGTTCAGTTGTATGCAACGGTACCGTGAGGAGGCAGTTGGACGGCGATGTCAGATGAGCAGAGGGTCCGATACCAGGTAAACACATGAGGAGCCGGCTGTAGGCAGGTCGGAGCCGGCAAGGAGTTGAGGAAACAGCAGTAATGATGAATGGACGGTATAGCTCACACACAAAGGCAGAATGTGCGTCATGTGGTGAGGTAATCTACAGCACATGAAATCAGAGGCAGCAGAACAGGTAAACTCATTATGGAGAGCTGGGTGAAGGTGTCTCAAAACAGCCACAGGGAGCAGGCGAACAGAAACCAGAAACGTGGAAGCGCAGCTCTTGGTCGGGGACAGAAGGCTGAGTGGTTTACTGAGGAGCAGGTGGAGCCAACACATTTTCACTCTGACCTTGTCTCATATTGATGTTTAGTCATTGGTGCTGATACAACGTGAAAGGTACCCTGGGTGCGTTGGTTGTTGACATTCAAGTTATGCCTGTTACATTCATTGTCTTCTTTCAAAATACACTTCCATTTCAAAGGAAATTGACCATTTACATACTGTCTCTTTCAAAATAAACGCACTACATCAGTGCAACAACAAGAATTGACGTTTTTGTTCTTCCAAAAACTAACACACGTGGTTAGGTTTAGGCAACAAAAACATGTGATTAGGTTTCGGAAAAATATAAGGGTTGAGCTTTATGATCTTATGGGACATGAATACCACTCTCCTTGGTAAAAGTCAGTGTTTGTTGGACCCATTCACCACCCCTCAAGGCTGCCCTACATGGACTTTCGCTCCCTTAAATTGCGTTTTTCCTGCCAAGTTTCCCCTGACGCTGCAGAGCACAGATAAACTATAGCAACGACCGGCCGCGTAACATGTCGGCGTTAAAGGACGGCTTTTTTCGTCAGTGTCTGACGCTGCAAGAGACGCTGCGGATTTCAGCGACTTCAGAGTGAAACTGGGTAGGCAAAGCAGGAGATTCTGAGACAGGAGAGGTTGGCAACGACAAAGCAGCCTGGGAAGTCTTGCATGGAATGACAAAGTACAATCGGCAATGAGAGTTTGTGAAGCTGGAGTTTTTATAGTGGCAGGGAGTAATGGGGCACAGGTAAGAGTAGTTGGCTTGATAAGGTGGGTGTAGTGGACTGGCAGGAGCAGGAGATGTGTGGACAGGTGATAGGCTCACAGGTAGGTGTGGTGGAGAGGCAGGGTTTGGTGGTGGGTCAGTGATGGCCTGGGGAGGCTTATCCTTGGAGGCTTGCACAGACCTCCATGTCATAGCCAAACGTACCCTGACTGCTGTTAGGTACTGGGATGAAATCCTCAGAGCGACTGTCAGATGTTACGCTGGTGCAGTGGACCCTGAGTTCCTCCTGGTGCAGGACAGTGCCTGGTCTCATGTGGCCAGAATGTGTAGGCAGTTCCTGGATGATGAAGCGTTGGTGCCATTGACTGGCCCTCTTGTTTCCCTGTCCTAAATCCAGTTGAGCACCAATGGGACGTTATTTATCAGTGCATCCGACATCTCCAAGTACCGTCACAGCCAGGTCTGGGAGGAGATCCCCCAGGACACCATCTGCCGACTCATTAAGAGCATGGCCAGACGTTGTTGGGAGTGTATATGGGCATGAATCTAATGGAGTCTGAACCTGGATGTCTTTCCTTGCTTGCTAGTTTCTTTCCTTTGAGCACTTGATTTTGTTGTGATATATTATTGTCAAGACAAGCATGAGGTTAAGTATTTGTAATTGTCTTTTTTGAATCCTCTGGCTGTAAACAAAAATCAAAATGAAAAGGAAAAAGAACACAGTGAGCTCAGCTGACTACAACAGTGTGTGTGTTTGATGTCTGTTTCAATTAAACTGAGTTACGACTCAGAGAAGAAGTGGTGTATCAGTCAGCTGACATAAAATTCAAACGCTGTTTTCATCTATTCATGTCTGAATAATTTATAAGTATTTGTTTACATACTGAGTAGATGCCTACATGCATGGCAGCATTTCTCATCCACACAGAACAAGAATGCAGGTTTTGTTGTCCTCTTTGTCTCCTCTGTCAATACAATTTCATCACAACTGTTGTCACTACATTCAGTATATTTTTCTTTGCAAAACTGAGCCCATTCTTTCAGTGGCAGTTTGAATCCAAACTACTCATCTCAGGTTAAAACACCTAATTTAGCACTTGTTTGAAACCTCTGCTGTGGTGTGTGGCCACTCAGCATCTCAAAGCCATTATAAATTTACTGACTGTTCAACTCCCGACAACAGCTGTAAAATCAGCATTACTGTCTTCCTCTGTGAAAACAATGACAAAGTGCTGTTTGGCAACACACCCAACCTGTAACTTCTCCAGTGTTTCAAAGGTGTCAGAGTGAGAAATGCTGGCTGCAAAACAGCATGAGTAGGTGCCTCAGTATTTAAATATACAAATCAAATCCCTCATGTGTATTCTGATCTGGCCTGTATCTTTGGCAGTATTTGGAATTGAACTGCAGCCACTACAAAGGTAAAAGGGCTGTGCAAGAGGAAACATTCAGAAACTTAAAAAACACTATTTGAGGTTGCAGAGTCAGTCATCAAGCAAACTCAGACTATCCATCTCCACTGCCGTAGGCTCAAATCTAATGAAGACAGAGGCTTTAAATAAATGGACTGCTTCCTGGCCACAGCCTTGAACACGATCTGCTAGGAAGCAAATATCCAAAGGCAATCTATAATGTTGTAAAAACCACGGGATATGTCATAGAAGTTTTTTTTTTTTTTTTTTTTGTTTTTTTTTTTTTAAATTTTAAGATTTTTTGGGGGACATTTTTGCCTTTAATTGACAGGACAGCTAGGTGTGAAGGGGGGAGAGAGAGGGGGAATGACATGCAGCAAGGGGCCACAGGCTGGGGTTGAGCCCGGGCCGCTGCAGCAACAGCCTTGTACGTGGGGCGCCTGCTCTATCCACTAATCCATCGACGTCATCATAGAACTTTAAATTAAGAGTTATAACTAAAGTCTAGTTTGGATGGAACCAGCCACATAGGACATAGATAGAAGGAAACCACAGAGACTGTTTAGCAAGTTGTAACAGAGTCTTAAAGAGTTATTAATGTCTGTGGATATTTGTAAAGGTGAGCATCATATTTCTACATACATATTTTAATATTTGCAGTACATTTCACATTAATTATAATGATCTTTCCTCTTAAAACTGAACATCCTTTAGGCCTGAATGAAACACTTAATTTGTCCTGCTGTTTAGAGACATCTGCATGTACCAGCACGGCCCTGTTGGATATGCTTTGTCTTATTTTGTACTTCATTTTTTCTTTTTTTTTTTCTTTCTTTTTTTTCTGTGTATAGTTGTGTTTTTTTGTACATTTGTATATGTTCTGCTATCATACATTGGTGTTTGAGGATGTTGTGAACAGTACAATACTCATAGGACAGGTCCTCGTGATTTGGTAGTCAGGCCTCTGCTTCTCAGAGCTGATTGCATCTAATTAGTGTTACCAGCTGACTGATTCACCACACCTGGTAGTAATATGTCTGTGTCTATATCTGTTCTGTGAAGCACTCATGTCAGTAGCACTGCTTTTAGTCAAGGACAAAAACATTTGCCACTGTTTTTATTCACTTTTTATTATTGTTTTTGCACTTTGAGCACAGATGTCCTAAATAGACTTTTGTTTTGCATTGATCTCAGCCTGTGACCCTTTCTTGTGGCTGTGATTTCAGCTTGAAACTCAGCAATGTCTCTGTAAAAAAACAACCACTTTTCATGCCACTGTCCTTGCAGAAAAAGCAGGAAACCCAGTGATATCTCAGTTAAAAACAACCTCTTTTCATGACACTGTCTAAGCTGGAAACAAAGCCATGTCATTTTGCGGTACTATGCTCACTTTGATAGCTGCTCCAAAACACCCACATCTGGTCTCAAAGGCTGTTGGAAACACTGGAATGACTTGCTAAATCACACCTAGTTTTGTTGTTTGTTGGTCTAAAAAGTGGTCATGCCTATAGGTGACATGCCATCCACCACCCCCTCCACCTGCCAAACTAACTTCATATACTACATCACTTTAGAAACGTTGCTATGATACATATTTCACATAGAAAATGTAATGTATTTGTGGTTGGCAGAAATGTATAACGCCAACATTTTCCTCTACTGGGCTGTATAAAACATGACTGCACCACATTTAATGCAAGTGTATAGCCATCTTC